ACAAATACATGGTGTGAAAACAATGAACACTGACCATTATAAGCATAAGTTACCCATTTCATAAACTAAGTGTTCGAGTAAGCATAAGTTACCCAAACACTTGGCTTTTCTTTCGGTGAAGAGGGGTCATGTAAAGTGGGCTATTACCCATTTCATAACTTCAGTGACCGTTGAAATATTTAGATCTAATGTGCCATTATTTAATGAAATGGTAAAAATTTAGGGTGACAATCTTGAGAACAAGGCACATTATCTAAGCATAAGTTTCCTCTTGAGGCTTTATGTAAAGCCCACTTGAACTTTTCATGTAATCTTGAAAACTTGTGCTCCTAGCTCAAAGGTTTAGCAACTGTTGATTTCAAAGGATAATTTTATTTCTATGCATGTTGTTTTTCTAAATAAATAAAAAATAGAAAAAAGGGCAAAAAAATAAAATTAAATTAAAAAAATAAAATTTATAGTATAAAGAGTAATTATAATATTATAAATTAAAAGATGATATATTAATGAATATTATTGAATAATGGCTCTTTTGTCATTTTCTGTAAAGAAACATGAAAAATAAAACTTAATTGTAGAAAAGGGAAACCAATATTGTCTCCCTAATTTTATAGATATTTTCATAAATAAAAAACAAAAAATAAAAAAAATTATAACAAAATTATTTTAAGTGAATGGACAATATTTAAAATATTACCAATACTCTGTACATTCTATGCTACTCTTTGACTATTCAGGACAAAAATATTGGACTTCCCATAGTATAACATTATTCAAACAATTTTTTTTCTTTCTTTCTGGAACATTATTCAACCTTCTTGAAGAGAATCTTCTTATGAATTTGAAACAAGCTTAAAAAATTTACACAAACTTCCATTTTTTTTTTTTTTTTTTTTTTTTTGGGGATTCTAGAAAGGGTACTATTTTTTGGGAAAGTAAGGTGGAATATTCTAGAAAGTGATTACTCAAAAATATAAATCCTCAATCACTTGTCACAATTGTGGCCTTCAAACAATTTATTATGTTATAGAATAGTGTAAGCATATGATTTTCGAACATGTATCCATTTGCATAAGATTAATCTAATTAGTTGTTTTATGTGCTAAATTTTTTTTTTTTTTTTTAATATATCGGTGGATGAAATTTATGAAAAATGATGAATATTTTCATATAAGAAGTATTTTTAATTAATTTATTTTCATTTTTTTTTTGGTAATTAAGTATTGCATAGATAAAAAAGATTAATTACATATATACAAGGGGCATGCCCCAGGAGCCCAATCCAGAAAACAAGAAAGTGCAAACCCAAAATAAACCAAACAAAGCCGAAAAGAAACAAAGACAAATCCATATAGTCCAAAGATTGGCCCAAAATGGATACCATTTAATTCTGAAGCCCAAATCATATACATAGGCGGGATTCCATCAACAAACTCATAAAACATGTCAGTACTGGTAGTGGTGGTTTGGCTATGGTGGATGCAGTTGGGGAGATGACAACGGTGGTGGTGGTGGTGGTGGTAGTGCGTTCGGAAGGGTGAAAAAAGGGTTGGAGTGGAATTGTTCATGGAAGGATGTCGGTAAACTCCATTCTCTTGAGATTTCCTCTGCAAAGGGGCAGGAACACACATTAGGTTGCATTGTGAAATCCAATATTGCTGGTTTGTCCTGTATTTCCATCTTATTTGGTGTTACTTATATATTAATGAATCTTATGCAAATGTGAGAGAACAAGTACATGATCTTATTTGGTTTTGCGCATTTTAAAAGGTTCCATTCCTTATCGAGCAGGGGTGTGGGTTGGTGGATCCCACACACTCCCCTCATCATGGGGCATAACTAAGTAATAATCAGATATATTAAGATGGTGTTAGAATACTAAAACCAATTGAATTTGGGTCTAGTCAGTCTAATCCAAATTTGATAAGGTTATTGTTGAAATCGATCCGAATTAATTTTTATGAAATGAATATTTGATCTGTTATCTTTTTCTCTTTTAGGCTTCATTTGTTCGAGCGTAAATTTTTTTTTTTTTTGTTAAATATTTTCTATGTGACAATTTTTCAAGTAAAATAATTTTTTTTATTTTTTAATTTTCGGTATTTGACAAAGATTTTAAAAATATTTTTTAAAAAATATTATTGGTGTCTGACTTCTAAACACATTTTTAAATTAAAATTTTTTATTTGAGTCACTGATTATTCAATTCTTACTATCAATTAGTTCAATTATTTCTATAGCAACACTAATAATTATTTGACAAGAAAAAAAAATCAATTAATATATAAAAAAAATAATAAGAAAACCGAGAAAAATCTATCTATCATCAAATGCAACAAGTGAATTTTTTTTTTTCTCCACTTTACGTTTAGATTAGTTTAAGTTGAATTGGATTTGGGTCGGGTCAATCTAATCCAAATTTGATAAGGTTATTATTGGATTTGATCCAAATTAATTTTTATTAAATAAATATTTGATCTGTAATATTTTTCTCTGTTAAGCTTCGTTTGTTTGAGCGTAAAATATTTTTCTTATAAAATATTTTCTATGTAACAATTTTTAATGTAAAATGTTTTCTTTATTTTTTATTTTTCGATATTTGACAAAGGTTTTGAAATATATTTTTTTAAAAAATATTATGGTGTTTGACTTCTAAAAATATTTTTAAATTAAATTTTTTTTTGAGTCATTGATTATTCAATTTTTTTCTTACTATGAATTAGTCCAATTATTTTTATACCAACACTAATAATTATTTGACAAAAAAAATAAAAAAATTAATTAATTAATTTATAAAAAAAAAATCGAAACAAATATATCTATCATCAAATGCAACAAGTGAAATTTTTTTTTTTCTCTACTTTACGTTTAAATTAGTTAAAGTTGAAATAAAAACTCCCTCAAGAATTGTAAATCATGTGGAAATAGTTCACAAAATTTTAATTAACACTTAAAATTAGTTAAAGTTGATAAGATAACAGTACCTTCTTGGCATATAAGATTTTATCTCAGAAAGTTAGTTTAATTTTTAAATTTGAAATATAAAAATTTTGCTAATATATGACGATGAATTATTTATGTTTGGGGTTTAAACATATTTGGTGGTGTTAGGATATAGGTAAAATGACGTTATCTCTCCTAAAATTCTTAATTTTTTAATTTTGATAATTAAACAAGTTGATCTACTTTTTTTATTTAGTCTATAATTTGAAGACGGGTTTTGCCCCCACATCAATTATTGATTAAAAAATTATTAAATATATATAAATTGAGGGATAACATTACTTGATAACTTTTGAATCTCATAGAAAATATTCAGGAGGGTATTGTCACATGTCACATCCATTCATTGAACCAAATGGATCAAAATGCCACAAAGCTAATGTGGGGTCACCTCTGAGCTATGCGTTCGTCACCTCTCTTACTAAAGTGTGGAAAATAACACCTCTCTGGCTCTCTTACACTATTCACACTAAACACTATTCACAATTTAGTGGGTCACCTCTCTTACTAAATTAGCTGTGGTAATCACAAATGCGAGCCTATATGAATAAATACTACAAGAGCTTACCTTCGCCATTACCTTCCCAGTTCTACAACAACAGAACTTACTTTCAATGGCGAAGGTGTTCCCAGTTCTTCTGTTGCTTGGAGCAATGTTTTGTGTTCAACATATTCAACAAACTCACGACTAGCAATGGTATGACAACCTCCGTTCTCACCGCATACCGATTCATCTTTGCAACCATGTTGCTAGCTCCTTTGGCCATTCACAAATCATGGTAAACTACTCCATTTTTAATTGCTTTCTTTGTTTGTTTGGTTTCTAAACGCAGGCCTTTAATCAATATTTCTTGATATGTTCTTTGGTCTGATTTTCTGGTATATATGCAAAGGGTTCACATGCATATCACAGTAAAGTTCATTCAATGTTATTACATGATCGAGGGTGAAGCAAAGTCTGTTTATTCAGTAGCTTGAGGTTAAGGAGTGACTGTTTTGGTTAGATTTTGTTTGTTAGTTTCTGTTTTGTGAGAGTTTTATTACTTCTGTTTTCAACTGTTTTTGGGAAAAAAATGTGCAAAACTCTGTTTATATCGTTGTTGAGTAATGTTACCATGCTTGATTGATTTTTTGTGGCACTCCAATAAATATTGTCCAGCAGAGTATTAAAGCTAATCCATATATATATATATATATATATATATATATATATATATATATATATATTAGCATAGAAACAGATCCCTGCAGGATGCTAAAAACCTGATTGCAAATAAAAAGCAGATTTCAAAATAACATGATAATTAATTAATTAAAATCAACAATATTGAATATTACATTACATAAAAGTCTTTCCAAATTACATTCTCAGTGCAACTCCATTCGTAAGGGCCAAGGAACGAAACATGATAAGATTTTGATCTTATTCCTTTCTCTTCCCCAATCTATTTCTCTGCTGTTCTCGTTACAACATCTTCTCCATCTCTTCCTCATCTTGTCGGTTTCCAGACTCTCTCTCCTAAAAGTAAAATATTTATTGCACATAGAGATTACCACCGAGAAACATAAAAGAAGAAATGAAAATCTTTTGACTTTCTAGTTTCCAATCTCTCTTTCTACTCTATAATCCAATCGATCATCCTTGCTTACTCAACCAAGCTCATCATACCCCATCTGGTTTGTATCTTCCTCTGAAGGGGGTCCACCATACCCAAAGGGTATTATATATATTATATATGGAAAATGAGTAACAAATGAGCAAGGGGTAGAAATCATAAAAATAAAAATAATAAAAAATATACAACAAATATATAAAGAATCAATAAGGACAGTACCTTCATCCATGTCCTCTAGAGAATGTGGAATGAATTCATTTGTGTCATCCTGACCTGCCCCTAAGGGTATTCTAAAGAAAAGATAATGAGGATAACGAAACAAAAATATACTTAACTTCTACCAAAACAAGAAGGATGTACCTGAAGATGAACCACGCTCTTCTATAGGAAGCCGATACTCTCATAGTCTTTTGAAGTCCTTATAACCGGCAGTGCACTTTTCTTCAACCTCTTAATGCCAAATTGCTTTGGACATAGATCTGGCCTGTGATAGGCTACATTCTCATAGCATATGAGAGGCACAACACACTTGCCATTATCTTCCTGGCCATTACAATATGCTGGCAGCTCAATTTCTCCCCTTTGAACGGCTCTCATATAATCTACAATAAGAAGCATTATGTAAAAAACAAAAAAATATATTATAAAATAACTACAGAAAAGAAAAAGAAAATATTGAAAAATTACTTTCTCCTCCTCCACATTTCGGAGAGTTGCCAAAAAAACATCTTTAGTGCATTTTAAATGCTTGTTTTGGGTGGAAGAATATAGGATGTTAGCCCACTCTAATATATATATATATATTTTCTGACCCATCTTTCTTCTACTTCTTGTAGGTTAGAACATGTGACTATAAATAATATTTTGAGTTGGACACCTGACCCTAAAGTACGTGTAAGTATTGTAAATATTTGTTTTGCACCATTGCTAGGGTTGGAATTTAAGTTATATATATATATATTGGGTAAGCCTAAAATAAAAAATAAAACTCACGATTTGTTTGGGTTCCAACTTCTAGTAATCTGCCCAAAAATAAAAAAATTAAAATAAATTGTTGAAAAAAAAAAAATTATATAAAAAAGATCATAAAAAATTTCACCAAATAGGATTTAGTTTGCAAACAAGAATTACACACCTTAGCAGTTGCAGAGAGTTATATGTGTATATATAGAGTTTTGATTGTGGAAGATTATTTGCCTATCCGTTGGGTACCCAGAAGAACATTGATTATTTCGCTATCCGTTGGGTACCCCAGAAGAATTAAAAGTGGAACCAGAGAGGTGAAAAGGCACTGCAAGAATTCACTTTCCAAGAGCCACTAAATTGAAGCACATTTAAGTTGGCATAAATGTCGGAGGCGATTGGGGAAGCTGAAATGATTTGCCCTATATATATATATATATATATATATAGATATAGATATATATATATATTTTTTTTTTCTGGTGGTGGATGATCCATGGGCCTAAAAATTTTGGACCACCTTGGGTCAGGGCCGCCACTGGGCTTATTCGGCTTGGGCGCTGGGTTGCTTTTGTGGCCCTTGGCGACCGCCTTGGGTCAGGGCCGTCCCTGGGCTTATTTGGCTTGGGCTAATTTTGGGTGGGCTTAACTATGTGGTCCTTGACATGGGCTTTAGACATCTAAGTGGTACTGTCAAAAAGTACCTATTGGGCTCTCAGTGAAACAAGCCCAACATATAATTAGTCTATTCATGCGGGTGCTCATCCTGCCATTAATTTTAATGTAGGTGACTCTTACCTAATCCACTATCTCCATTGAAACAATTTAATTTAGTACTCACTCTAAATTAATACTGCAATCGTTTAAATAAATCATTCACTTCAAAAACATATTCATCATTGGATGAGGTGAAATCACTCTGGACTTACACCATTTAACATGGATTATTCCCTCACAAATGCAAAAATGACTATCCAGATCAAATTAGGCAACCAATAACCATTAAGTTCCTTCAAATATGGGTATAGCCTCTAGGTATCATTGTGTCAATTGAATATCCACACACATCGATATATGCATGTGTGTGTGTCTCTCTGTGTGTGTGTGTGTGTGTATATTAGCATAGAAACAGATCCCTGCAGGATGCTAAAAGCCTGATTGCAAATAAAAAGCAAATTTCAAAATAACATGATAATTAATTAATTAAAATCAACAATATTGAATATTAGATTATATAAAAGTTTTTCCAAATTACATTCTCAGTGCAACTCCACTCGTAAGGGCAATTTCGATTCTGTTCATGCATCAAGGTGACCTCGGGCTTCTTTTTCTTTTCCTGTAAGGTTTACCGTGTGGTTCTTGTTCTGGCTCATTTAGAATGAAAGCTGTTGGGAAACGTGCAAGTTTTAAAAACTTTTCGAGGGATTTTGATTTATAGATCTTGATTCATCACAAAGAGACAAGTTTTATGCAAAAATATTAATATGATGTATCATTCAATTAATGGATTGAATACTTACATCAAAGGTCTGAGTAAACCTTTAAAACTTTCCTCTAAAGTAAATATTCTCACTTATTGTAAATTCCTTAACAAGATGCCTTCTCCTTGGATCTCCATCTTCTTGGTAATTATTTTGCCTTTAGGAATCACTCATAAGCCTCCATTAATTACCTTGGAAAACTAAGCTTGTGGGAGCCTCCATTAGATGAGACCATAAACCCTAATTTTCTAGAGAGAGAAAATAAATTCCTTTTTCCTTCTCATTAAAAATCACCCCCAAAAATATACATAGACCATGTATATTTATAGGCAACATAAAAATAAAGAAAATGAAACAACAAATCCTTCTCCATCTCTAATTCATATGTCTCAAATCTAATATGATTCCAATATCAAGTTGGGCTATGAGTGAGAATCCATTGGGCCTATTATTTTATTGGTTGCAATGAATTAATAATTGGCCCGGTCCATGGACCCAATTCAATTAATTCATAAATTAATTTCTACTCCACTAAAAGAAATTAATTGAACTCCAATTAAATAATAAATAACCTCTAAGTCAATATTGCACTTTGACCCCTCTATGCATAATTAGTTATCAGATAAATAAAGCCATCAATCCGACTACTTAATTAATATATCTATTTTGGTACCTCTGATTATTTCTGGCTCGATCACAATAAAACATTTGTTTGACAAAAATAATAATTTAAATAAATAAATATATAATAAATCATTTTGTCTGAAAACACACGAAGGCCTTCGAATTTACTTTGTGATCAACCATAATCAATACAAAATAAATACAAGTAGCAATGATGCAAATATTGAAAATATAACCCTCTAACTATTAATTACATAACTACCCAAAGTGTCGGTCTAAGGATCCCGAAGAATCCGCCGAACAAATCAAAGTAATTATTAATTAATAAAAGAGTCTATACTTTTCTCATGCTTAAGAGTCAAATGCCATGACGGTGATAGGGAGTAATTGCATACGACGGCTCTCGCAATATATCTCAACCTAACGCGGATTCAGTTCAAGTCTTAATTAATTATGAGTCCATCCATAATTACCGATTATGAACAATTTATAATTACTATTTATATATCATGCATTGATTGCCATCACATACATATATACAAATATTTCTTGTAATTACATGGACACTATCAATTTCATAGTGAATCGAAACATAATACATTGAATTCACCAATTATATAAATCATAAATATTTCAGATATGTCAGGAACATATGTCACTATAATCCAGATAGGAATTTGCTATACCAGGGCATATAAATCCCAACAGCTCCCACTTGCCCTCATAGCCAATTCAAATTGCACCTAACTCCAATGTTATCCGGATGATGATCAAAATTATTGATCAATGACACATTCGATAATGGATCAACAAAGTTGTGTTCCAATGCAATGTTCTAACTACAAGTGCATTTTCTTGTCGGACAATATCATGTAGAACATGATACTTCCTCTCAGTGTATCTTGTTCCTCTATGGAACCTTGGGTCATTGGTTTGGACTACTTCTGCACTATTGTCACAACATAGCTCAATAGGCAGGCTAGTATACTCCACAACCTCTAAATCAATGAGATCAAACTAATAGGCTTCCTTTGCCGCCTTTAAGGCTGCAATATATTCCACCTACAGGTTTGAGTCAGCAATTGAAATCTGCTTAACAATCTACCAACTGATCTCCCTTCCATTAAGTGAACTTACACTGAGTCATGAACCTCATAATATCTACTTCTGATTGAAAATCAGAACTAGCATACCTGACTAGGACCATATCATCACATCCATAAATGAATATGATATCATTGGTTCTCCTTAGGTACTTAATGATATTTTTCACAATAGACCAGTTGTCAAGTCCAGTATTGGACTGATCTCTACTGACTATCCCTACTATGTAGCGGATGTCCTGTTTGGTATAGACCATGGCATATATGAGACTCTCATATGCCGAAACATATTGTTCCAGTCTCATTTGCTCAATCTCCTTTGATAGTCTTGAAAAACTACTTACTAGAGAGAGCCATCCATATCAATAAAGCAAGAACTCATTCTTTGAGTTATGCATACCAAACCTGGTCAAAACTTTATCAATGTAGGATTATTAAGATAAGCCTATTTTCCTTTTAACCTGATCTTGTAAAAGCTTGATCCTAGGAATATAGCTTACATCTTAAAAATCCTTCATTTAAAAGTAATTGAACAACTACCTTTTTATTGATGACACAACTTCCACATCATTCTAAATGAGTAGGATGTCATCAATATATATAGAATTAGAAAAATAATGACATTCCCTTGCACACTCATGATTTATTCACTAAGAAATCTTCTGGTATCTTTTTGTAGATTAACTTGCCTTCCATAGGAATCACCCTACTATAAAGTTCTACAAGATCCCAGAATTTATTAGAATACATCGATTCCAACTCTGATTTCATAGTAACTTAACAAAACGATCTGTATCCACATCGGTTCACGCTTCCGTGTAGCTTACTGGGTCCAACTCATGTTTAACAGGGATGTCCATAATGGTCTCACCTAAAAACATGATTCTGTCGAATTGGATGATAATCCTCCCACTACATCAATGTACCGATGCAAGAATCTGTGTAGTAGATGATGCTAACGCATCAATAGGGAATTCATATATTATTCTTAATCTCTATAATAAGTGTGTTCACATGTGGTACATCTGGTACTCATACCAAATTCTCTAACATTATGCTACTAGGTATGTGATTCATAATATGATTCTCCTATAGATAAACAGTGAGTGAAAACAATTAACTTTTATCTTTGAGATCATAAAATAATCCATCCTAGTGACATTTAGAGTAGCTATTAAATTTAGCATGCCTATGATCTGCTTCCAACTTACTTGTCCATATCAAGCGCACATGTGCAAGACTACCCCATATGTGCATATGATTCAAACTAATATTTAGTAAAAAAACACAGCTTAACGGTATCCTTGAGACAGACTAAGATGGAATGCAGTTCATAATGCGCATCGATGTCATTAACGCTAAACTCTTAAATAAAAGAGATAATGTAGCATAGCTGATCATAGATCTACCCATGTTAAGTGGAATTCTGTT